TCCAGCTGAGAGAAAAGGATCCCAGCACCCCAAAAACACCCTCTGGGAATTCTGGAGGTGCCCTAAACACAAAATCCCAAAATCATCTTACTGGGACACAGATTCAATTAAGGACATGAACAGGTCCTGATCCCGATCCCAAAACCCCAAATGAGCTCCCRAATTCCAGCTGAGAAAAATGGTCCCAGCACCCCAAAACCACCTCTTGAGAATTCTGAAGATGCCCCAAAACCCCTTCCGGCCCCGACCCCAAATGAACCCCCTAATTGTGCTGATTAGCTTTGAGGCCCTAATTGCTGTCGGGAAGTCAATTATGGGATGGGCCAGCACTGTTTAATGGGGGATTTTCGGGCCGGCTGTTGCGGCAGCTGGTCCTCCATCCCATCCATCCCCATCCCCTTTTCCAGGATTAATCCTACAGCTTTTGGGGTTAATTATGGCAGCACCCAGCTGATCCTAAAAGCACTGTTGTGAGATTAACGCTTTGGGAAAAGGAGGCAGAAAATCCCATTGCGGCTTTGCCACGGTTTTCCGCTTTTCTGGAACTTTTCATTCCCAAAATTGAATTTGTGGAAAAATGCAAAGGGCAGAGCTCGATCCTACAGGGAATTCTGGTCCTGATGAGGGTTTATTCCTGGGAATGAAATTTTTAAAGGGTTAAAAATGGATTTATTCCCAGGAATGAAACTTGAAGGGGTTAAAGATGGGTTTAATCCCAGAAATAAAACTTTTAAAAGGTTAAAGTCTGGTTTATTGGGGGAATGAAACTTTTTAAAGGGGACATCGATCCCAAACACCGATCACACTGGAGACTCTGGCATGGGGAAACCCCACAGAGCTGCTCTATGACCCCAAACACCGATTGGGACGCCAAACACCGACTGGGACCCCAAACACCCATCCTGACCCCAAACACCGATCCCAATCCCAAACGACCATCCTGGCCCCAAACACCGATCCCAGTGGATCCCTGTCCCTGTCCCCGTCCCTGTCCCCATCCCTGTCCCGTTCCTGTCCCCGCAGAGGCTCCGGGTGTGCCCCAAGCACGGGAAGGGAGGGGCTGAGCACGGGGGGAGCGGCTGGCGGGGACACCGAGCATGGGACAGCGCGGGGACAGCTCAGGGACACTTTGGGGACACCAAGCACCGAACCTGTGCTGGGTGCAGCTTGGGAACACCTTGGGGACACCTCAGAGCTCCTTCCCTGTGCCACAGACACATCGGGGACACCTTGGGGACAGCAGAGCCCTTTCCCTGTGCCAGGGACACCTCGGGGACACCAAAACTCCCTTCCTGTACCAAAGATACATCGGGGACAGCTCAGGGACACCTCAGAGCTCCTTCCATGTGCCACAGACACCTTGGGGACACCTCGAAACCCCTTCCCTGTGCCAGGGACACCTCGGGGACACCTCGGGGACAGCAGAGCCCCTTCCTTGTGCCACAGACATGTTGGGGACACCTCGGGGACACTGCAGTCCCTTCTCTGTGCCAGGGACACCTCGGGGCCACCTCAGGGACACCTGGGGCCACCCCAGTCCCTGCTGAGCCGCAGCAGCTGCCCGGGCAGCCCCACTCCAGGATTATTATTATAATATCCACTACAAATATCCTATAACAGCCACTATAAATACCCTATAAATATCCTATAATATCCACTACAAATATCCTATAATAGCCACTATAAATAGCCTATAAATATCCTATAATAGCCATTATAAATATCTTACAAATATCCTATAATATCCTATAAAWATTCTACAAATAYCCTATAAATATCCTATAAAATCCACTAGAAATATCCTATAACACAAATTTTCTGCACACAGAAAATTAAAGACAGCAAGTGAAGGAAAAGATTCATCCCTTTAAAAGAGGCTAAAAATAAAAAAAAAGAATTCAGGAATATTTTGGAAGCAAAATTTCCCTAATTTATCCCAAAATTTCTGCACATTAAAGACAGAGAGTGAAGGAAAATGTTCATCCCTTTAAAAGAAAAAGAAAAGAAAAAAAATGAATTCAGGAATATTTTGGAAGCAAATTTCTCTAATTTATCCCAAATTTTCTGCACATTAAAGACAGAAATGGAAGGAAAAAAGCTCATCCCTTTAAAACACGCCCCGAAATTCAAGATTTAAAGGAATTAAGTGACCACTCCAATTAAGCTCCCCATGCAATTCCTGCCTTTCCCTGCCTCCAGAGCAGCAAAATTCTGTTTATTTTCATTTTTCTTGCTGAAAACAAAAGCAGCCTCGAACCAAACCGAGCTGTGATCTCCCACAACATTTCATCAGCACTTTGTGCTCATTGTAGGATAAAATTTAATTCCATTTTTCCCTCTTTCCCACCAGCCAAGGCCAGTTTTTGCCAGTGAGGTCTGCAGGGCTCTCAAACACGAAATTTTTTTTTTTAAAAAAAACCTGATCTTTCCAGACCAAATCCCCGCCTGTTTTTCCCCACTCAAAACCCTGAAAGAGGAAGTTTTCACCGCTGCYATCCCATAAATTTGGAGCAAATGATAAAAGCCCGCAGGAATTTGAGCAACTCCCTCCCTGTGGGGAAGGAAACGTTGAGAAAAAGCAGAATTTGGGGGTTTTGGGGGGTTTTACAGCCCCCAAAGCACGTGTAGGAACAGCTGGGGAGGGACAGACCCCATTAATGCAGCCAACTTCCCACTGACACCGATGGAAGAATTCCCTGATCCTCTGGAGCGGGAATTGTGTGGTGAGAGCTGGGATTAAACTCCTATGAGGGGGCAGGAAAAAGGTGGGACCTTC